AAGGGAGAGTGGAACGAAGATCGGAATAGGGGAGGAAAGGGGAAAGGGAAAAGGAGATAGGACGAAGATCGGAATAGGGAGGAAAGGGGAAGGGTAAGGATGGGTGCGTGCGGGTGGGGGGGGGTGGGGGTGTTATGTAGATTTTAGACGCGTTGGGGAAATCTTTTTTGACGCAAATAGACCGGCGGAAGGCGGTGCGAGGGAAACGTAAATAAACGAGGGAGGAAAGGAGCGATGTTATCTGATGCTGCTGCGTGTGTTGAGAGGGGGAGGTGAAGGTAGGGGGAGAAAGGGGAAAGAACGGGGGGAGGTAGGGGGATAGGGGAGGAGGGCGGTGGAAAGAGGTGGGGTGGAGGTGGGGAGGAAAGGGTGAAGGAGGGAGGAGGAAGGAGGGGGTAGGGAGGATAAGGGTAAGATGGAATTTTGGATGAAAGAGGGAGGGTTAGAGGGGGGCATGTTTTCCCTCCTTTCGGCACGGTCAGTCAGTCCGTCATCCGCTTAATCAGTCATGCAGTCAGTCACAGTCACTCTTGTGTCTCTTATAAACATTGCTATTCCGGCTCCTCGCACTCCTCGTCTCTCTCTCTCCCCCCCCCCTTGTTCTGTAGATTCTCTTATTTCCCATATACCCCTCTCATCCCTTTAATCTCTCTCTCTCTCTCTCTCTCTCTCCTCTCTTCTCTCTCTCTCTCTCTCTCTCTTCTCTCTCTCTCTCTCTCTCTCTCTCTCTCTCTCTTCTCTCTCCTTCTCTTCTTCTCTCTCTCCTCCCTCTCTCTCTCCTCCCCTCTCTCCCTCTCTCTCTCTCTCTCTCTCTCTCTCTCTCTCTCTCTCTCCTCTCTCTCTCTCTCTCTTCTCTCTCTCTCTCTATCTATCTATCTCTCTCTCTCATATCTATCTATCTTTCCCCCTTTCCCCTCCACTCCTTGCCTCCCCACCTCCAACTACTATTGTTTTTCCTTCTACCCCCTCTTTTTCTCTTTACTACATCTCCCCTCCCCTCCTACTTTTCTTCATCTTCCTTTTCCTCTTCATCCTCATCCTCCTTTTCATCTTTATCATCCACCTTCTCCTTCTTCCCCTTCCCCACCCTTCCTCCCTCCCCTTATCCCTCGATCTTCCCTCTTCCCCTCGTCTGTGACCCATCTGTCTCTCCCTCTCATTCTCCTCCTCGAGCACCTCCTTCAGCTCCTCCTTGATTCGGCAATTATCATCTGCACATCTCCCGGCCCCCTCCCCGCCTTCCCGCACTCCTGTTGCTCATGACAGACGCCCAGTCTCTCTCTTCTCTCTCTTCTCTCTCTCTCTCTCTCTCTCTCTTCTCTCTCTCCTCTCTCTCTCTCTCTCTCTCGTCTTATCTCTCTCTCTCTCTCTCTCTCTCTCTCTCTCTCTCGTTTCTCTCTCTCTCTCTCTTTCCTTTCTCTCTCTCTCTCTCTCCTCTCTCTCTCTCTCTCTCTCTCTCCTCTTTTCTCTCTCTCTCTCTCTCTCCTTTCTCTCTCTCTCTCTCCCTCTCTCTCTCTCTCTCTCCCTCTCTCTTTCTCTCTCCCTCCTCTCTCTTCTCCTCTCCCTTCTCTCTCTCTCTCTCTCATCTCTCTCTCTCTTCTCTCTCTCTCTCTCTCTCTCTCTCTCTCTCTCTCTCTCTCTCTCTCTCTCTCTCTCTAACCACAGCCTGTCCGTAAGCACGGTCGGTCCTTAGTAAACTTTCATGTGCAAGGTGCTGAGCGGGGAAGGAGAGTAGAGGTGGTTTGGGGGAGAGGAAGGAGAGGAGGGCGAGGTAGAGAAGAGATCGAGAAGATACTGAGGTTGGTGGGTGAAGAGCGGGGAGTGGAGGTGGAGAGTAGAACAGAGGGAGGAGAGGAGATCTGTAGAAGTAGAAGAGAGAGAGATGGTGGTAAAGATAAGAGGAAAGTAAAAGGAGGAGAGGTAGAAAAAAAAGTGGAGGGGAGGTAGAGATAGAGATCAGAGAAGATAACTTATATAGTCATTGTCGGCTTCCAGCTACGGGTTTGTGAAAGTACTGACGAGTGTATCTCACAGTCGCTGTATACAACTATCCCGGTGGATGGTTGGATAAGAGTAGTAAGAGTAGGTAGAAAAAGAGGGAGGAGATAGCCCATAGAAGTGAGATAGAAACGCTCTTGGGTCCTTATGGGAGACGATCTTGTAGATAAAGTAGGTGGAGGAGCAAAGAAGAACAAGTCGTAAAGAGAAGAGCGAAGATGAGAGGCGCGGTCTGCGGCGTCCGGACCGGGGCAACTCCGGCACGTTCTAAGCGCAGGTACGTAGATATACGGTGAGGTCAGTTTCGCGGTGCCCCGCATGCCCCTAGCGGCTCTTCCGAACCACGGATTTTTCGCACTCGGACCGACGAGCGATGAGTGTTGAGTGGTCAGCACAATCTCTTCTTAACTTCAACGCTCAGGCTTAGGGCCAAGCGATAAGGGATGGAGTTTTTAAAGGTTAAATGAGTGGGAGAAGGTGTAGAAATTCAAAAAAAAGTGATTGCTTAGATAGCGGCAGTTAGGGAATGAAAGCACCGACCGAGGTCCGTTATTGGGTTTTGGCGTTTAAAAGTGTATTCGGCGTAAACTACCACCCATTCAACTCCGGTCGATCGTTAGGAGACACTGACGAGGAGGCGCGGTGCACAGATTTGGCGTCCGTCAGAGCCCTTCCGCGGACTCGTCCATATCCCCGGCCAATAAGTGCCGATTTAGGAGATCTTTAGTAACTCGGAAATGGAGGTGAACGGAGAGCAGAGAGCTTAATCTTTTGACGCAGAGGAGCGAGAGCAACAGAGCGGAGACGATACATGATAATAGAGATGAGAGAGAGTGAAGACAGTGGAGAGAGAGTAAGAGTGAGGGCTAGAAGAGAGAACCAGAGAGAAGTTATGCAGAGAAGAGAGAGACTCGCGCGCAGGGAGAGACGAGAGCAAGCGTGCAGTGTGCTCGAGGTACCAGAGCGAGTAGCGGGATAAGCGGCATCTCTGGTCATAGTTCGGGACAGACATCCGCGGAGGGTCATGAGCGGAATCAGTGAGCAACGCGGCGTAGTGAATGCGGGGGTTTTTTTCCCGGCTCCCCCCCGGGGGTCTGTTCGGATGATAAGGGTGACGCCGCGTTCGTGTTCAGGGCGAACAGGATGGTCGTGAGCCGCGCGGATTCACGCGCCCCACGCCGGCCGGCTAAGGTGCATCGCCGGTGTTACCGCCTCTGCGGCAGAGACAAGATAGATGCCCGATGGCGACTTTACGTGTTGGCAGGTGCGCACGTGCGCCTTGCACTGGCACGTGTCAGCTGGTTCGGGGGGTGATCATGGCAACTGAAACATTAGGGGATTCGAACTCTTTGGTGCTGCATACTTTTTTTTTTTTTCTGCCCTCTCCTCCCCTCCCTTCTCTCCTATCTCCTTCTCCTTCTCCTTCTCTTCCTTTTCTCTCCTTCTTCTCTTCTTCTTCCTCTCCTCTCCTCCTCTCTCCTCCTCCTCCTCCCCCTTCTCCTTTCTTTCTTTCCTTTCTCACTCTCTCTGTTTTTCTCTGTCGCTTTTCTTTCTCTACCCCTCCCTCTCCCATCTCCTCTCTCACTCTCTCCCGCACACCGCATTCGCAACAGAAAAGAAAAAGAAAGAAAAAAAAACTTTCTTCCCTTCTTCCTCCTTATTTCTTCTTCCTCTTCTCCCCATTCCTTCCCACTTCTTTTTCCTCCTTCCTTCATTCCTCCCCACTTCTTTTTCCTCTTCTCCCCATTTTCCCTCCTTCCTTCATTCCTCCCCACTTTTCTTTTCCTTCTCTCTCCTCTCCTGCCCGACTTCCCTCCTCCTTCCTTTCACTCACTCCCCACTTCTCCTCCTCCTTTTTCCCCACTTCTCCTTCCTTCGTTCCTCCCTCCCCACCTTCCTCCTCTCTCCTTCCCTCTCCTCTCCTCCTCCTCTCCTCCTCCCCCACTTCTCCTCTTCCTTCTCCTCCCTCCCCCTTTCCTCCTCTCCTTTCTTCCTCCCTCCTTCCCCTTTCCTCTCTTCCTACCAGTTCTTCCTCCTTCCTCCCTCCCCTCCCCTCCATCCCTAGTCTTTATCCTCTCCACACTTACTACTACTATTCTTGCTCTTCTTCCTTTCTTCCTTTATTTCGTCATGTCTCCCCTCCCTCCCTCGCTCTTTAATTCCTTCCTTCTTTGATCCCTCCACACTCCCTCCTCCTCCATTCATTAATTCTTTTTTTTCTTTTTTTTATTGTCGTTGTCGTCCTGCCCCCCATGTTTATCTCCTACGTTCTCCTCCTCTTCCTCATCCGCATCTTCCTCATCCTTTACCTCCTTCCTCCTCCTGTGTCGTCTTCCCCCTTTCTTGATCTCGCCCTTTTGTACGTAGCAATAGTTAAGAGCATTGTTGCCATGCAAGGCGAGTGCGGCGCCTGCTCACGCACTCTGCCTGGTGTGCGGGCGTATGTCGGTCCCGCGGGAGGTGGGCGTAGGTTGGGGCCGCGGGCGGGATGTGGGCGTGTGGGCGGGAGAGCGAGCTGGTCCGAGTGCGAGCGAGGGGCGGCGAATAGGGGTGGCATGGCCCAGCCTCCGCCAGTTATTGGTGGGCGGCGCCTGGGTCTCCCTGCGGCCCTCCCCCTTGGCCCTTTCCCCTCCCCTCTTCCCCCTTCCCTCTTCCGACGGCCCGCCCACCCGACGCCCGCGCGCCCGTCTCCGCCCATCGGCCTGGCCGTGGAGGGAGAGCGTTGGGGCGTGGGCGGGCGGGCGGGCGCGGCGGGGGAGCGAGGGGGCACGTCGACGCCGGTGTTTTGCGAGTCGCCCTCGTCAAGTATTCATTCACAGCCCTGAGGGTCAGCGTGCAAGCAAAACTGTTCAATTTGAAGGGGATAGTGTGTGTTGCAGGAGTGCGGGGGGCGAGGGGGGCGGTGGTGGAGCGTGGTGGTGGCGCGTGCGTGGCGCGTGCGCGTGTGTGCGTTCGTGTGTATGTGCGCGCGCGGGCTGGGTGGCGGCGGCGGCGGCGAGGAAGTTGGTAGCGTCGGGCGTCGCGGGGCGCGGCAGTGTTGGCTGAGTAGTCTGGTGAGCAGGTAGTAGTCCGGGACGTAGTGGTAGCCCGTGAGAGCAGCTCCGCCCCTCCGCGACGTGTGTTGTTGTCGTGTGTCGAGCGATCTGAGAGCCGGCCGCCGTGTGGCGCCGTCACCCACTCCTCCGTCGCCTCCTTCAGCTCTAGCGCCGCCGCCGCCGCCGCCGTCGCCGTCGTTGCCGCTCCTCGAACTCTGCACTCGGCCGCCCAAGTGTGTGTGCGTGTGCCGGTGCCCCGTGCCATTCCTGCTGGCGCTGCCGCCGCAACTGCCAGCGCTGCAAGTGCGCCTGCTGCTCCTGCTGCTGTGTCGTGCGTATAGTGTGGGCGCCGCCAGAGTCGGGCGGTGGCGCGAGGGACGGACGTAAGGTGAGCTTGTTGCCCCGCACCTCTCCTCTCCCGCCTATCTTCACGCCATGGAAGATTCTGCCAGGTGATCCTCTTCTGTCTCGTTGTTGGGCCGTGTGGCGGCGGGCGCGCGGGGGCGTGCGTCTCACCCTCTCTCCTCTCTCTCCCCCATGAGCACGCCCGCACGCCCGCGGCCTCCCTCCAACACGCCACTCACGCTCTGGCCGCTTCCCTCCCCTGCATGACTGCTGGCAGTTCGATCCTCGTCCCGCTCCTTCGTGAGGTCCGTCCGCCATCAGGGGGTTGGTTGTGCTGGACGTCGTGGCGAGGCGAAGTCCGGAGCTCGCCCTCGGGGGCCTTCGGGCTCGGGGCTCGGGGCCCGGGGCCCTCGGGGGCACTCCGGCACTCTCTCTCTTCCGCCGAGACCCTGGCGGGATCCCCTGGTCGTGCGCTCCCCTGGCGCTCCTTGGCGCCCGCGGCCTCCGTGCGGCAGGGAGGCCGCGGGCGCCGGGGCAGCCATGCTTGTTGTTGATGTCCGTAGTGCGGGGCCCGCCCTGTGGCAGGTCCTTCGGGCGGAGTGCGGGCGGCTGCGCCCTCGTAGTGGCACTCCGCCCGGTAGGCGTGTAGGTCCTTGAGAGGTCGAGAGGCCCTTGTAGGTAGTATGGCCCTGCGGTAGAGTAGCGCTTGGTGGGGAAGAGGGGCTTTCCTCCCTGGCACTCGGCCGCGGGCGCCTCGGGGCGGCCGCGTGTGCGTTTGCGCGAGCCGCCCGCGGGCCGTGGCACCGAGGCTAGTTCGGCGGGCTCGCGGTGCCGCTCGGCGTCAGGGCACTGTGGATTGGAGGCCCCGCTGCCCGTGCGCTGGACGCGACCCTAATGCCCTTCCTTTCTGTGGCGAGGTGGCCCTGCAGTGGTTATGAAATGCAAGAAGGAACCGCAGTGATTATGCGACTACTACAGTTATTTTGTAATCGTGTTTTCCTGCCGTGCCTTTTGTTTTTAAGATCAATCTTTTCTTTTCTTTTCATTTCTTTTCCTTTCCTTTCCTTTCTTTAGTGTTGTCCCCTTCCGAAATATTCAGACTCAGCCGAATCTGCAGTGACGTTAATAACCCGAACAGAACTCGTGCAAGGCTGGTGGCGGCCGTCTTCGGGCAGGCGTGCGAGTTCCGCGGTGCCAGCGGGGCCGAGGCCATACAGTTACCAGCATTCGAGAGAGAGAGAGAGAGAGAGAGAGAGGCCTTACGGCAGTTCCGGCACAGTGCCCGAACAGTGCCTCGGACACGCCGCCCGAGTGTGTGCTCCAAGTGACGTGCATTGTGGCTCCCGATAGTGCAGTCTAGCGGTATGGTGCAATGATGCAGTTCTGTGCAGTTTGAACAAGCCCGAGGCAGTGTGCGTCCTTGCAGTGTTCCCTTGGTGTGCGCCGATGGTGCTGTCCTACACGGGTGGCCTTGCAATGTTGCACGTGACGGTACGCATCACAGTTCGACATCACTTCTTGTGAAATTAATTTACGAAGAAATAATCAGTCGACATGCCCTTTTCGTGATTGTGTTGTTACTAAGTAACAGACTAGATATTAACATGATCATTATTTTTATTATTTCAAATACACCAAACGTGCCAGAACTGTTATCAGCAATCGCGCCACTTCTTTCGAAGAACTATTTTCCTCACATTTTGCAAGAGTTGGTAACATTGGCAACAGCAAGACACTGCCAGCCATGCCCTCTCTTGCACGTGTTTGCAATGCACTTCGGAGTTCTCGCCGAACTCGGCCGCACACCTCTCTCGAGTGTTATCTGGACGATCGGTTGGTGTTCCCTCTAAGAATATCTGCAATATCGTGAGCATTGCAGCAGTGGAACGGCAAAATAGATGAATAAAAAAGTCAACACCAGTGCTCCTTTCCCCCGTTCCCTTGCCTTTCCCCTCTTCCCATCCCCTTTATCCGTCCCCTTCCCCCTCCTCGTTCTCCCTTCCCCCCTCGTTCCCCCTTCCCCTTCTCCTTTCTTACCCCCCCTCCCCCTCCTCACGTCATGCAAAGTTCGTCATACTATTTCGTAGGACATTTATGTTTCCCAGGTAGCGTGTTGCTGGAGGTACACGTCTCTGACCCTTGATTTGACGATAAGTTGACCGATTGTATCGGTTTTCTCTCTCTCCCTTTCCCTCTTCATCTTCATCTCTTTCTCCCTCCCTCTCCCACTCCCTCCCCTATTTCTTTCTCTTTCTCTTTCTATCTCTTTTTTGTACGAAGAATGTGGTGCACTGCTCTGTCTGGATGACTGTCGGTCTCAGTCGTGTACTCGGACCTCCTGATACCAAATATCCAATGTGTGATTCGCTGAAATTCATTTCGTTAATTTTGGCTCGTGGCGTCAGCCAGTTGTAGTACGCAGGTTCTGTTTCCATTCGGATTTTTATTTTTTTTATTGAAGAATGGTTCAGTAAGTCGTAGATTTTCGTTTCTGAGATTTGTTGCAATTAGAATCATCTTCTATGTAGGGTTTTTGAATCGCAGGTTTGGCATCAAATTGACGTCTAAATCTGGTTCCTTCGGGGGTTTTCCTCGGGCAGTGTTTCTATACCAGTTGGTTGGTATTTGTTTCTGATGGTGTCGATGGTTTGGAGGACATGAGACGATTCTGCTGACTAACTTCCAAGGCTCTGTTAACACGGCCTGTTGCAAGGCCTAGGGACGCATGCTCTTGTTATCCTAACATTTTTATTAATAGATGTTTATGCTCTGGAGTTACTTTGTTTGACTAACATCAAGTTATATATACGTTCAGAAAGTTGTGTGTGTTTAGCGTAATTGTTTGCAGTTTTTTTTATTCGCGTGAAGTGTTTGATGGTATTGTGGGATCGTCTGCAAGATCACGGGAGGAGGCGCTGTGCGAGGGGTTACGCCAGCTTGCATCCTCCAAGGTTGCAGGCGCGGCGTATGTAGGCCGAGGCTGGCCTTTGAGCGCGCGTGCATGCATGCAGGGAGGCACACAAGATCATTTTGCAAAACCTTGCCGCCTTGCCTCGTGTTATAAATATATGTGTGTGTGTATTTATTTACTTTATATTTATTTATTTATTTATTATTATGTTTTCGGAATAACATTATGCGTTTTAAGTTATTCCCGAGGGAGGGATCGCCTTCAGCTGATCTGTTTGCCGAAAGAATTGCAAAGACAGGGAGGTCACAAGGAGAGTGAGGCAGAGGAGACGGGGACAGCGCTGGATAAGGGAAGGATAGACGCAAGGACGGCGGGGATGGTAGCAGTTGTAGGAGAGCAGTAGAAGGACGGAATAGGAAAAGCGAGGGGGGGGGGGGGGTGAGGGCTGAGAGAGGAGCCGAGTTGTGGGACGAACGCGAGTGGGCTGGGCGCAGGGGACACTGGAACGGGAATGGAAATGGACTGGAAGGGGAGGGAGGCGAAGGCTGGGAAGAGGGCCGAGGAGGCTGGCCGAGGGACTGGCCAAGGGGCAGGCAAGGTCAGGGCCGCTTGAGAAAGAGAGAGAGAGAGGGGGGGGGGGGCAGACAGACTGCTGAGGCTGGCTAGCCGGACCACCTCCGTTAGTAAAGAAAGGGAGAGGAAGGGGAAGAAAAGGCTGGGTATGTTTGTAGGGGGAAGAGTAAGGGTGAAGAGGGGATAGGTGGTGGATGGGTCAGAGGCAGGCGGATAGGGGCTTACGGGGAGGAATAGGATTTTTTTTATTTTATTTCAAGAACTAAGTGTTTTATCCTTCTTTCGTATTCTCACTACAGAGGTTGATTCTGCCTACATCTCTTGTTTCCATGTCTCTTAGTCTTCTTCCTCTTCTGCTGCCTTCTCCTGCTTCCCTTCATCCTCCTATCTCTCTCTCCTTCTTCTCTTCGTCCTCCTCTCCCTCTCCTTCTCTCTTCGTCCTCCTCTCCCTCTCCTTCTTTCCAGTGCGCGCGTCTGTCCCCTTGCGGCTTGGGTGAAATGATCGATAATTGGTGACGCTGGTGGGGTGTGGGGCAGAGGGGAGGGGGGAGCTGGCGTTCTCTCTCTCTCTCTCTCTCTCTCTCTCTCCTCTTCTCTCTCTCTCTCTCTCTCTCTCTCTCTCTCTCTCTCTCTCTCTCTCTCTCTCTCTCTCTCCCTCTCTCCCTCTCTCCCTCTCTCCCTCTCTCCCTCTCTCCCTCCCTCCCTCCCTCCCTCCCTCTCCCCATATCTCTCTTCTTCTCTCTCCCCCTCTCTTCTCCTCCCCTCTCTTTCCAATTTCCTTTATCCTTTACCCTCTACCTTCTCCGTTTGTTCTTTTATCTGTTCTCTCTTCTGTCTCGTATATATCCGGTACAACTACAAGCCGTCCTGTCTATTTTTCCTGTACATAGTATGATTTATTTTCTCCTGCCTCCTTTTTGTGTCGTGTACTCCTGTTTACTCTTCCTTCTTGTCTATCGTTTCATCGCTGTTTCTTTTCGTCTCTTTCGGCATCTACTTTTCAAATTACTGCTTCCCATCTTTCTTCCCCTTTCTCCACTTCTTTCTCCATCTTACTGCTTTCTCCCCTCCGTCTTCCTCTTTCCTGCTGCTCCTGCTCCTCCTCCTCCTCCTCTCCTCCTCCTCCTCCTCCTCCTCCTCCTCCTCCTCCTCCTCCTCCTCCTCCTCCTCCTCTCTTCCAGTGTGTGTGGACTTATCCGGCTGCTATACACTGTGTTCCCCGTTTCCCCTTTGCCCCTTTGTGGCGTTATTGCGTGCCGGGGATGAGGGGAAAAGGGTAGGGGTAGGAGGCAGGGGAGGGGAAGGGAGGGGAACGGAGGGCAGGGGAGGTCCTCTTGTGTGTGTCTTTTCCCTGGCTGGGTCGCCTTATTCTGATCTCTTGAGCATATATTATTTATCCCCCCTTCCCCTCCCCACCTCCCCTTTTCCCTTCCCTCTCCTCCACCATCCTGTCCTATATTATCTCCCCAGTCCCCTCCCTTCTCTCTCCCCCTCCTCCCTACCTTTTCTTTCGCATTTTGCTCTCCCCCACCACCTCCCCCGTCCCTCTCCCCCTCCTCTCCACCTCTTTCTTCTTTTCTTGGGATTTTCATGAATGGTACATTGTATTGTGGCCCCTTTCAT